GGAAAAGATGTCAGCTTCCCCTGCCTGCCGAGTATGCTGATTGCATATATCTCAGTGAGAGTTCAGTAAGAGAATGTGTAAAATAGTAGGTTGCAGTAAAAATATGCAGTGATCTCCTTCAACAAAACGTAGGTAAAATAAAGCTAGTGATTCCTAGTAGCAAAAGAAGAAGATGTGTAGGAATAGAAAGGTATGATGCCTATGGCAAGAAGGCTATATAATCTACAGAAAAGTTTCTCAAATGCAGAGTGTTGAGATATATTGTAAATTCTGGGCCTGGGGAGACAGGTCTGAGGGCTGGAGCACAGGCTGTGTAGGGCGTCGACTCCATCCCTAGCACCACGTGGTCTCCCAACTGCCAACAGGTTGCCCCGCCCACCAAGAAAAAATGATACTTGTTCCTATATTTATCAATTTAATGCAGATTCTGTTGTGATTTCAGAAGAATCCATAGATGGTGAGGGAAAATTAGATAAGTTTTTCTTAATTTCCGTGGAAATTAAGGCTCAAAGTTATGAAACAGACTATGAAACCTTGAAAATGAACAGTGACAGTAGACTTCAGAGTATGCTATAAAGACACTATGAAATGTAGTATTAGAACAGAAAGAAAAATAGACCTGTGAAATGGAAATAAAGAGTCAGGAAACAGTGCCAGAGATATCGTACAGCAGGTAGGGTGCTTGCCTTGCATGCACCTGGCCCAGGTTCAATTTCTGGCATCCCCTATGATCTCCTGAGCACTGCCAGTAGTAATTCCTGAGTGCAGTGGATCCAGGAGTAACCTTTGAGAATTTTGGGTGTCACCTCAAAACAAACAAAAAGAATCAGAATACAGGAACTGGAAAGAAAGCAGGAGCAGATGAGGTGCCTGCCACGCACGCGCTGACCCTGGTTTGACCCCTGCTCCATACAGGGTCCCCTGAGCCCTTCCAAACGTGATCCCTGAATGCAGAATCAGGAGTTAGCTCTGAGCATTGCTGGGTGTGGCCCCAAAACAAATATCAAAACATACATTATACATTTTGAAATCTATGTAAAATGCAGTATGTGACCAGGAGTATAGGTGGTTACCAAATAAATGCTGGTGTGCAGCTATCTGGAAGAAAATTTAAATATTCCTAATTCTATACTCTGGATTAAAAAAAACTAATTTCACATAGACCCATAGCCTAAATGAAGGAGACAAAGCAACAAAATGCACTGTATTTCTGTATTTGTATAAAGTATGTCATTGGAGAGAGGTTTCAGGGAAGCGTGGCATTTTATTATTTTGTTGGGTGTTTTTGTTTTGTTTTGCGGCCACACCTGGTGCTGCTCTATGTATTCAATATTATGTGGCATGAGCTCTCATGCCACATGCATTTGGTGGCCATGAGTCGCTTTCCCAACCCAGCTTGCAACCACCTCCAACAGATACATAAAGGAGGGAACAGGGCCACCAGGATGGTTGGTGATCAGTCGCCGTTTATTCCATTCTCCCCAGGCGCCTATTCCAGTTTTACATTGCCCCTCATTCCCATCTCCTCTTGGCTCTCATGCTAGTCTCCCCACACCCAGTCTCGCAGCCTTAGTCTAGAGCCCAATCTCCAAGCATTGGGGATATCAACTACACCTAGGTCAGACAGTACCACATCAACATATGTAAAGCCCTTCCCTTCCTTCTGGGGAATCAATTCTAGGACAATGACCTCATCCTGCTAAGAGATCTGTTCAAGAGTAGAATTTCCTCTAAGGACATACTTCTCTTTTCCTTAGTCCATAAACAATCATCTTAGATTTACTTCTTAAGAATCTTTCTAGTCATTTTATATGGACACAGTATAGAAATATTAATCTTATAGGGTGATTCTCCTAGGGACATCTTGCTGTAGATCCCAGACTACAAATCTCAGGCCACATTAGTCCTTCCTAACCCTGACAGGGTCCTTGTCCTGTCACTTCTCTTTGGATCATGACAATTCATCCACGACCATGCTCTTAGCTTATAGTTAAGTTTTATGGCACTTGGCCTGTCCCATTTTGATGCCAGGGTAGCTCACAGCTTTCCCTGGTCCATCCAGTCCCTTCGTCGGGACCCTGCTTTTGGGGTGCTAGGAACTAAGGACTGCTGAGGCTGTCAAGTAGACCAGATGCCCAGGAGTAAATGTTATTTGAAGTCATTAATTCCCAAGTTATAAAAGCGTAGCATTAACTGTCTTCCTGTGTCTATACAAAAAGGACATTGCTCTAAAGTAAACGATGCAAAGGACATAAGGGAAAGAGAAAAAGCAATATTTCACTTGAATGTACAAAATCCAGAGTCCTTAGAAGGATTTGACCTTACAAGTCACAGGGTCTGATTTGGGGATATAAGTGATTAACAGATAGAGGAAGTAGAGCACAGAGGAGAAGTTACAGATAAACACAGAGGAATCGGAGAGTGCCTTGGGAGCTCTGTAATGGGTGTAACCCAATAAACCTAAGCTCCCTGTGGCAAGGGAGCACAGACAATCTAATGTTATCCTACAGCGCTCAGTGATTATTCCTGGCTATATTAACTCCTGGTAGTGCTTGGAGACGATAATGGATGCAGGGATCAAACCATATGCAAAACAAGTGCCCTACCCACTGTTCTATCTTTCCAGCCCCTAAATATGGGAATTTTTGTGGGGGGAGGGGTGTCCCCAAGGGTTCCATGAACCTGGTCTCTGGGCTGCATGTGAGGGTGTGGGGGCATTCCCCAGGCTCTGAGGTACTCTCATCTCTCTCTCTGTGGAGGTGGCCACTGCAGAGATCACAGGTCAGGACAGCAGGTTCTGGGAGAGAGCTCTAGGGTTTGCTGGTGCATGACCCCACCCCCAAAGCACTGCCATCCGTAGCCCAGTGACCTCCCCAAGTGCTACTGAATATGATCCTGGTGGTCCACCATACCAGAGGCCTGTGTACAGCTTCAAGTCCTTTGATGCCTTTTGAACTGCCGATCCAGTGTTTCCAGAGTATCACTAGGCATGGCCTCTGGAGTCTGGAGAGCTTCATTGATTCCCCCTAGGAAGCAGAGTGGTTTGACCCTTCACATGGGTATGTGTGGGGAGGGGGGAGTTGTTAATTTGGCACAACACCATTGGGGTTATTGGCCTCTGAAGAATTGGGTCCATTTTGTAGAATAACATTGGTTTGTCCTTTCTGCCTTGTCATGGGGAGCTTCGGTTTATTGGGTTACTCCTATCACAGTGCTCCCAAGGCACTCCAGTTCCTCTGTGTTTATCTTTAACCTCTCCTCTAGTATATCCCCAAATCAGACCCTATGACTTGTAAGATCAGATCCTTCTAAGAACTCTGGATTTTGTACATGCCAGTGAAATTGCTTTTCTCTTTCCCTTATGTCCTTTGCATAGTGTACTTTAGAGCTATGTCCTTTTTGTATAGACACAGAGAGTTAATGCTGTGCTTTTATAACTTGGGAATTAATTCCAAATAACATTTACTCTTAGGCATCTGTCATATTTACTGCACGTAAGCCTCAGTTGCTCTTAGTTTCTAGCACCCCCAAAGCAGGGTCCTAACGAAGGGACTGGATGGACCAGGGCAAGCTGTGAGCTACCCTGGCATCAAAATGGGACAGGCCAAGTGCCATAAACTCCTGGTAGTGCTTGGAGACGATAATGGATGCAGGGATCAAACCACGTGCAAAACAAGTGCCCTACCCACTGTTCTATCTTTCCAACCCCTAAATATGGGAATTTTTGTGGGGGAGGGGTGTCCCCAAGGGTTCCATGAACCTGGTCTCTGGGCTGCATGTGAGGGTGTGGGGTCATTCCCCAGGCTCTGAGGTACTCACAGCTCTCTCTCTGTGGAGGTGGCCACTGCAGAGATCACAGGTCAGGACAGCTAAGCTAAGAGCATGGTCCTGGATGAATTTTCATGATCCAAAGAGAAGTGACTGGACAAGGACCCTGTTAAGATTAGGAAGGACTAATCTGGTCTGGGATCTATAGTGAGATGTTCCCAAGAGAGTCACCCTATAAGATTAACATTTTTTTTACTGTATCTAGACAGAATGACTAGAGAGATTATTAAGAAATAAATCTAAGATGATTGTTCATGGACTAAAGAAAGGAGAAGTATGTCCTTAGAGGAAATTCCACCCTTGAGCAGATCTCTTAGCAGGATGAGGTCTCTGTCCTAGAAGAGCTTCCCCAGAAGGAAGGGAAGGGCTTTACATATGTTGATGTGGTGCTGTCTGACCTAGGTGTGGTTGCTACCCCCAATGCTTGGAGATTGGGCTCTAGCCTAAGGCTGCGAGACTAGATGCAGGGAGACTAGATTCAGGGAGATGCTAGCATGAGAGACAAGAGGAGATGGGAATGAGGGGCAGGATGAGACTGGAACAGGTGTGTGGGGAGAATGGAATAAATGGTGACTGACCGATCACCAACCAGCCTGGTGGCCCTGTTCTCTCATTCATGTGTCTGTATGTGGCGGCTGCAGGCCAGAGTGGGAAAGCGGCTCGTGGCCACAGAGAGTGGCCATGTGGAGAGAGAGTCCCTGCACAATTATTTATTGAATTCACACCTTTAGTTTTGGTTATTGTTTGAATGGTCTCTAGAAAAAAGTTAGGTTAGTGCAGTCTACTCAACTCCTTAAAATGACTCTCAGAATAACTTCTGTTTTAAAAGTAAAGTGATTTATTTTAGAAAATCTGGAAAACCCAGGAAAATAGTTTTTTAAAAAAAACACGAAGGGAAAAGTAAAAGTCCCCACCCCCCAAAAAAAAGAAATCACTGAGGATAAAAAAGAACCGTTTCTCCACTATTCAGAGATGAGCATTATTAAGATATTAGAATATGATCCCTATTGTCCTCCATTTATGTTTGTCAATGAAATGCAAGGTGTGAACTTCCTACGTGTTGCCTATTGCAGTTAACCAGTAGAGGTCCACCTGTGAACAGTGCAGTTCAATTGTTCCAGCCATGCTGTTTGCTCGGTCCTTCAGTGTCCGCTCTTGCTGTTCCTTTCCAGTTTCTGGCCGACATGGAAAACAATGCCCTGTTCCGGGATGACATCGAGTGTCAGAAGCTCATCATGGAGGCCATGAAGTACCACCTGCTGCCGGAGCGGCGGCCCTTGCTGCAGAGCCCACGCACCAAGCCCCGAAAGTCCACCGTGGGCACACTGTTTGCCGTCGGCGGGATGGACTCCACCAAAGGTAGGAAGGCTCCTCACGCTCAGCCAAGTGGGGGAAGGGGTTTCAGTCAGTGATCTGCGTGATCCTTTGGAGAGAGAGCCTGTTCCAGGTTGGGGACAGGAAAAGTTACCGACTTGGCCTCGGCTGGGTCTTCAAGGGCCAGGAAGTGAGTTGTGGAGACAGGTTTAGGGGCACGGGAGGAGGCACCTTGCCATCTGGGATTGCGTCAGCTTCAGAATTCATAATGAATAGTAAGAGTGCACCTGGAGAGGGCTGGAGCAATAGCACAGCGGGTAGGGTGCTTACCTTGCACACAGTCCACCCAGCTGGGTTTGATCCCTGACACCACATAAGGTCTGAGCACATCTACCCTCAATCTTTGTCATTAGATGGGGGAAGTCCCAAGGCCAGCACTGGGGCTGCCAGGGGTCACGGCTCACTTTCTCCCGCCCTTAAGCAGCACAGCTGTGGCTCCTACATACTCGGCACCCAACAGGAGATGGATGGTGTTGAAAATGATTTTGGTAATAACTGAGGCTGGTGAGCTGAAAGCTCAAGAACAAGATATTCAGGCTCAGAGCATCTCCCAGCCAACTGCCACTTATTAGTCACAAAGACTAAAATCTTTGCAATGTACACTGCCTTGATTTGGGGCGGGAAAAACTTCCAGATTAGAGGAATTCATGCATCTTAGCTGCCACATGGGTGGGTCTGGAGCTTAAGATGCAGAGTGAAATAAGTCAGGAGGAGAGGAACAGAGAAAGATTTATAATAAGGGACATCCAGCATAGGAAATAACAAATGCCCAAAGGCAGTAGAATGCCAAAACTTGTACAGACCTGAGTTTGGGGCGCACAGGGGTAGTGGAGGGAAGTGGTTTGGAACATTGTATCCATGAAACCCCCACCAGTAACAGTATCATGGTGCTTAACATTAAAACAGATTTTAAAAGGTAACTTTGTTGGTAATGAGGCTAAAGTAACAATAGAGTGTGTGTGTGTGGGGGGGGGGGGGGTGGAGTGAGTTGCTAAGAACTCAGCCCCAGCACCTCTGTCCTACTTGACTGAAAGCCTATAACCAAATCCAGGTTCTGTAATTCAGAAGTTACTCAGAGATGCCAGGCAAATCCATGGTGAGGGCGTTCTCTGTAGTAGCTTGTCTGTCGGTAGCATTTCCAGACGTCAGGGATTGTTTCAGATCAGTGGAGAAGACAAGGCCCCTGCAGGTGTTTAACTCTGTCCTCCTAGATTTATCTTGGACTATAAGGTTATACTTGGGAGTCTTGATAAAATCCAAATAAACTTTGCAGGTTTTGTAACAGTGTAGTATGAATGTTGATTTTCTTTTCTTTTCTTTTCTTTTCTTTTTTTTTTTTTTTTGCTATTTTTGGTCACACCTGGCGATGCACAGGGATTATTCCTGACTCAACACTCAGGAATTACCCCCTGGCGGTGCTCGGGAGACCATATGGGATGCTGGGAATCGAACCCGGGTCGGCCGCCTGCAAGGCAAACACCCTACCCACTGTGCTATTTCTCCAGCCCCGATTTTCATATCTTAGTGTCATATTGAGGTTCTGGTTTTGAGGAAGATACTTAGTACTATGTAGGGGCCCAGAGACACCATTTCTGCCTCTCAGCTCCTAGGTGAGAAAACCACACATGCACACATAGAAAATGAGTGTAGTAAAACACTTTGTGATTGCAAGATCGCTATCCGTAGTTCCAATAGGGCAGCACACTCAGTACACACCATCAGCTTCCCCCCTGGCCAGGCTCCGCGCCCGTGCCAGAATCTCATCTGGATAATTTCTCTCTTGGTAAGCCTGCTCGCCCCTTCCCCTTGAATCCCTGATGCGCATGCAGTTCCCTGGCATCGCCTCCTTCCTCACCCAGATCCATCTGCTGCTCCGGCCCCACTTGCCTCGTTCACAGGATATGCCAGGCTTCCCATGCCAAGCGGATTGCACCCAGGGTTCCTTCTCATGGACGTGCTCTGCTCCCAACACTGAGCTCCTGGCACAAACTGCTGCCCACCCCTTGCAGGTGTCAGTTTACCAAGAGAACTTCCCCAGCTGTGGAAGCCCCCTCTCACCTCGCCCTTGTTTTTGCCTGCTTTCTATATGGTTTAGCCTAGAACTCAGCAAATAAATTGACCATTTGAAATAGGTGTAGCCACCAAGAAATATTAAAATATTTTTTGTGCTTTAAAAAAAAATGATTAATCCTCAGTGTAAATGAGGGAGGCTCCAAATTTTGACATAGAATTTTGCCATTAAAAAGCATTTTGTGTGGGGGCTGGAGCGATAGCACAGGGGGTAAGGTGTTTGCCTTGCACGCGGCCGACCTGAGTTCGATTCCCAGCATCCCATATGGTCCCCTGAGCACTGCCAGGAGTAATTCCTGAGTGCAGAGCCAGGAATAACCTGTGCATTGCCGGGTGTGACCCAAAAAGCAAAAAAAAAAAAAAAAAAGGCATTTTGTGGCTTGGGGACATTTGCTTTTCTAAAGAGTACATCTTTCAAATTATTTCTTAATATTTGTGTTCAATGTCAGAAACATTTTAGTTAACAAATTTATAGACTATATGACTGCTCAGTGATTAAATCTAAACCTAATTTAAATTTTTAAAAAATGGGGTGGGTCACACCTGGCGATGCTCAGGAATTATCTCCAGCAGTGCTCGGGGGAACCTATGGGATGCCAGGGATTGAACCCGGGTCAGCCGTATGTGTGGCAAGTACCCTACCTGCTGTACTATCACTCCAACTCCTCAAAAAATTTAAATTCAGGGCCAGAGCGATAGTACAGTGGATCACTTAATCACTTAATCACTTAACTTCCCGTTAGTCGTCGATTTGCTCGAGCGGGCGCCAGTAACGTCTCCATTTGTCCCTGTCGCGTGCTAGTGTAGCCCAATGGCATCTCTTCGCTCCGGGAACATGGAGGGCCTCAAACCGATCGTTCATGACCTTGACAAAGAAGTCTGACCATCTGGTAGGTGGGCGGCCACGCGGTCTCTTGACATCCCGTGGAATCCAATCAGTAACAGCTCTAGTCCAACGGTCGTCTTTAAATCTCATTACGTGACCAGCCCATCTGATTTTCGACACCTTGGCAAATGAGACAGCGTCCCTGATCCTTGATCGTCGACGGATGTCAGAACTCCGGATTCGTTCTCTCATTTGAGTGAAACGTGATATTCCAAGCATAGCTCTTTCTATTCTTCTTTGGGAGACCTGAATGGCGTTCTCATCTTGTTTGCGTAGGGCCCAGGTCTCTGAGGCATATGTTAATGCAGGAAGAACAGTGGAATCAAAGAGATGTGCCCGGAGCCGGAGGTTCTTCGTCCTCTTAGCTATTTCTTCGACGTTCTTGAAGGCGTTCCAAGCCGCTCTCTTCCTCCTGCGCAGCTCGGGTGCCAGGTCATTTGTCATGTTGACCTCTCGACCTAGGTACACATAGCTGTTGCATTCGGAGATGGTCGTTCCATTGAGAGCGAATGGGGCGTCAGGAACAAGGCTGTTTCTCATAAACATTGTCTTCGTAAGATTCAGCTGTAGTCCTACCTTTCCACACTCACGGTCAAAGTCGGCCAGCATTTGTGCCGCTTGGCTGATGTTTGGTGTTATTAAAACAATGTCATCAGCAAAGCGGAGGTGGTGTAGTTGCCGACCATCTATCTTCACTCCCATTCCTTCCCATTCCAGTCGTCGCATGATGTTCTCGAGGGTGGCACTGAAGAGTTTTGGTGAAATGGTATCACCCTGCCGCACCCCTCTCTTGACATCAACGATCACTTCTTTGTAGAATGGTGAGATCCTGGTAGTGAATCCGCAATACAGCTCACGGAGGATCCTGATGTATTGGGCTTGAATGCCCTGATTGGCTAGGGCTTCAATGACCGCTTCCGTCTCAACAGAATCAAAGGCCTTCTTTAAATCAATGAACGTTAAGCAGAGCGGCATCTTGAACTCCCGAGAAACCTCAATGAGTTTGGTTATCGTGTGGATATGGTCGATGGTGCTGAATCCTTTGCGGAACCCTGCTTGCTCACATGGTTGTCCTTCATCTAGTGTTCTGCCAATCCTATTCAGGATGACTCGAGTGAACAACTTGTAGATGACAGACAATAGGCAGATCGGGCGATAGTTGCCAATGTCATGGATGTCTCCCTTCTTGAACAGTAGTACGGTCCTGCTGGTTTTCCATTGAGATGGAACCTTGCATTCAGACAGGTAGCGAGTGAAGAGCCGAGCCAGTGTATTGATGAGTACTGACGGCAGGTTCTTCAGGTGTTCAGGTCTGACCTTGTCTGGGCCGGGTGCTGTTTGCTTCTTTACTGACGAAATGGCGTGTCGGATTTCGGAAGGGAGAACGTTGGGAACGACATACCCATCCTGTGGAATTTGGTATGTCGGCAAGTGGACATGGCTATCGAAGAGATTTGAGTAGAAGTCATGGATAATCTTCTCCATTGCCGTTCTGGAGGATGTGGTGGATCCATCAGGACGTCGGAGGGCAGTCATCTTGGTCTTATAGTTGGCGAAGGACAGGCGGGCGTTACGAATACTTTTCCCGGCTTCTGCCGCATCTACCAGTACTTCTGCTCTTCTCTCTTTGAGGTCTTCCTTGATCGCATCTCTGCACTGCTTTGCAAGCTCGGACGTTAGCTTGCGGTTGCCTGAGGCATGCGCCAAACCACGCTGGCGAATTAGCTCAAGAGTTTTCGAAGATAGGCGACTTTTTGTGGCTATCTCTCTCTTGGCTATGCCTAACAACCCGAATCGGACGTTTACATTTGAATAGATGTGGCTCACTGCCTGCAGTTTCTATCTTCGTTGTCTACGCACCAACATCTCATTATGATGAAAGAGAAATCGAGAAGTTCTACATGGAGCTAGAGAAGTTCTATAAAGAAGACCACACCTTCTACAAGATCATTGTGGGTGATTTTAATGCCAAGATAGGACCGAGAAGATCAGCTGAAGAACTTCACATCGGAACCCATGGCCTAGAATGGAACGAACAGGGTGAGAGACTGTCTGAGTTCATCATGTCGAGCAAGACCATTCATGGTAACTCACAGTTCCAGAAGGCAGAATCTAAACGATGGACATGGGAGTCTCCCGGTGGACGATTCCACAACGAAATAGACCACATCATATTCAATCGACGGTTTTGCCTGACTGATGTCGCTGTTGTCCCAAAATTTCGAACGGGATCGGACCACCGTCTCCTTCGTGCAAAATTCTACTTCACAGAGCGGGGAGAAAGGGCTGCAAAGTTCAAAAAGAGAACTCCCAGAACGACCACCAACTGGGAACTCTTTGGTACTATTGCGGCAACATGGGAAGATGCCATTGTTGACAACATTGACGAGGAATACGATCGACTGGTTCAGCACCTCCATGAATGTGCGAGGAACGCCAAGTACAGTGGATAGGTAGGACATTTGCCTTGCACTCAGCCAACCCAGGTACAATCCCTGGCATCCGTATGGTCTCCCAAGCACCGCCAGAAGTAATTCCTGAAGGCAGAACCAGGAGTAACCCCTGATCATCGCTGGGTGTGACCCAAAAAGCAAAAAAAAAAAAAAAAATGAATGGATGAATAAAATCTGAAATTTATAGAGATATATAGAATTATAAAATTATTTATTAATGTATAAAGTTGTTTATAAAAACGTCTAAATTTATAAAGAAAGATTGTTGATGGGCCTAAGAGAAAGAGATGGAGACTCAGTGCAGGCTTTGCACGTAGGAGGCCCAGGGTCCATTCCTGGGACCATCTGATCCTCGAACACTGCCAGGTGTCGCCTCAAAACCAGTCAGTTTTTCCCCCTTAGCCTCGACTGCCCACCTTATCAGGAAAACAAATGAGTGCCTGGAATGAGTTACTAAAAGAGAAATGCCCCCACCATCAGACTCCCTAAGCTTCCCAGACTCGGGGTGTGCCAGCACAGGCCCTGGGGGACTTACCCTGCACCCCTGCAGCCAGCCAGGTGTATTCCCCGCTCCTGGGCAAGCCAGCCTCACGTGCCCTCCTTCCCTGCTGCTGGGAACCAGGTCCTCTGCTCTCCTTTCTGATCCTTTTTCCTCACAGCTTTCCTTCCTGTTATTAGCCTTTCAACAAACACCCGGCAGTGCTCAGGTCAGCTTTTACTTCAGGAATTATTCCTGCAGTACTTAGGGAACCACATAGGATGATGCCAGGGATCGAACCTGCGCCCATCACATGCAAGGCAGGGGCCCTACCTGCTGTAGCCTCGCTCCCGCCCCTCAGGCAATTCTAAGAGCAAGGTAAAAAAAACCTCTCTCAGCCCACCTGGGAAAAACCCACTTTCCTCCTCCATTTTGTAGCTGAGCTGCACAGAAGACTCACCTGCACTGTCTGCCTCGTGTTTGAGTCTCAGGCACACAGACACAGCCTCTTCCCCTCACGTCACCCACAACCTCTGCGTCACTAAACTCAACTCAGCCCAACTTTTGGGACTTCACTGGACTCGATCTTGTCAGCAGTGTTTGAAATAAACTTCCCTCCATGGCTTCTGTCATACCAGCCTGCCCTCGGTCTTACTCCGGTCCTTGCTTCTCTGCCTCCTCAAGCCTGACCTTTTTTTAATACCATATTTCACTGCATAATCATTAAAAGTTTTCATCAGTCCCCTGATTGACTTATAACTGTGTTTTGAAAGCTACACATAATGGGCATGGTCTAAATATTTTTTTAGACATAAAATCTATGCCAGGACAGAGTGACAGTACAGCAGGTAGAGTGATAATACAGCAGGTAGGGTGTTTTGCCTTGCATACCACTGACCTGGATTCGATCTCCAGCATCCCATATGGTTCCCCACCACTGCCAGGGATAATTCCTGAGTGCAGAGCCAGGAATAACCCCTGAGCATCGCCAGATGTGACCCAAAAAGCAAAAATAAATAAAGATCTGTGCCGATTATGTGGTGAAATACGGTACCTGCATCTGGAGAATTGAGTGGAGGTGAGGTCCAGGAGTGGCCAGATCTTGCCGAGGCCTGCAGGAATTTAATCAGAGTCTGGTCAGAGCTGATGAGACTGTATTGTGTGTATGATCTCCTAAATCATAGCTTTTACTTCCCCTGACGTGTCTGTATTCATTTGAAGGAGCGACCAGCATCGAAAAGTATGATCTCCGCACAAATATGTGGACCCCAGTGGCGACCATGAATGGGAGGAGGCTGCAGTTCGGCGTAGCGGTGCTGGATGACAAGCTGTATGTGGTGGGCGGGAGAGACGGTCTGAAGACTCTCAACACTGTCGAGTGCTACAACCCCAAAACCAAAACGTGGAGCGTGATGCCGCCTATGTCCACCCACAGGCATGGCCTCGGTGAGTGAGACGCTGCTGCTCGGGCTTCCCTGCAGATCTTGCCCAGGGATAAGATGAGGACGGGTGTGGCGCTGCCGAGTCAGCAGCCCGTGCTCACCGGGCGATCCCACCCGAGCTCCCTATTCCCCGAGAAGCAGGCGCAGAGAAAACCAGCTTGTGCATCAGCGTGGGTGATAAGCACAAGTGGGAATAAAGACGTGGTGGCAGGGGAGGTAGGATAAGCTGGTAAGGGACAGGTTCGATCCCCAGTGCCCCATATAGTCCCCCGGATCCTGCCAGGAATGATCCCAGAGCATACAGCCAGGAGGAAGCCCTGAGCACCTCTGAGTTGGCCCCAAAACAAAAAGATAGATCGACACATCTGGAAGGACTTTAGTATGGATTGATAAACTGATCACCAACTTTAAAAATGCTCTCTGGGGGCTGGGGCGATAGCACAGTGGGCAGGACATCTGCCTTGCACATGGCCAAACCGGCTTCGATCCCAAGCATCCCATATGGTCTCCTGAGCACCGCCAGGAGTAATTTCTGAGTGCAGAGCCAGGAGTAACACCTGAGCATCGCCAGTGTGATCCAAAAAGCAACAAATTAAATTTAAAAAGAAAAAAAAGATTGCAAATCATCCTAGTTCAGTAAGACTTGACTAAAATGTGGGAGCATGTTTTCAATTTGTATAAGTGGTTTTGTGCTATCAATTTATTTCCCTTTAAAAAAAAATGTATTCTGGGACTGGAGTGATCATGTAATGGGTTGAGCACTCAACCATGCACGTGGCTGACCTGAGTAGATCCCCAGCGCCACCTTTGGTCCCCAGAGCTCCACCAGGAATGATCCCTGAGCAGAGAGCCAGGAGCAAGCCCTGAGCACCACCAGGTGTGGCCCAAAGCCAGGAGAAAAAGAATTGAGAAATAGATTCCTCTTAAATGTGAGGAGCTCGGGCACTTTACTAACGGGATTGGTTGCAAGCGCAGGAAAGATTCTGTCCCTGTGGTCAGCTTGTGGTTTGAGAAGGTTTAAAATAGCTGTAATTAAAAAAAAAAAAAACTTGATGAGTTTCTAAACTTTGTTAGTACTGATCTATCTAATAAGAATTCTGAATTTTTTGTCTTATTTTACTGTTTTTGGAGCTAAGTCTTAAGTTATTTATAGTGAGAATTATATGAAGTTCATAAGAGAATTCTCTTCTATTTGAAAACAAGTGGTTCTGCTACTAAAATTGTTTTTCATCATATTAGCACAGTGCGTAAGGCGTTTGCCTTGCATGTGGCCGACCGGGGTGACCCGGGTTTGATTCCTCTGCCCCTCTCGGAGAGCCTGGGAAGCTACCAAGAGTATCTCGCCTATACAGCAAAGCCTGGCAAGCTCCCTGTGGCATATTTGATATACCAAGCACAGTAACAAGTCTCACGATGGAGACGTTACTGGGCCCGCTTGAGCAAATTGATGAACAATGGGAGGACAGTGGACATATTATTTAAGGGGCTGGACTAGATGAACTCTCATTTTCTCTCTCATGATTTCTTTGATAATCATGCTTAAACCTTATGCATAGTTGTAAATACACACAGACACACACACACACACACACACACACACACACACACACACAGAGCATGCTTCTCCTTAGTAGCCAACACTGATAGGATACAAATGGTTTGCTAGTTTGGGTTTTCCCTGAATGTCGAATATTTATATCCCACGTGACCACAATTTCCCAAGATAAAATATTTCCCAATGTAAAATTTCTGGTTTGAACTTCAGGCGATACATCTCACCTGACTGATTTTCTTACCTCTTCTTAACCCCTCCACTCACTCTCCCTCTCATTTAGATGAACCCAGATACTTTATTATCAGGATGTGAGTCTCATACTCCCCTCCCCACACTCTTCCCCTCGCTCTCTTGGCCATTGTGTACACAGGCCCTTTGCAGCCACTCGTGTAGACACAGCCCACAGGCTACACTGGTTTCCCCTGGGCCTCAGGGCCTTGATACATACTTCTCTCTATCCCAGCATTTTCCCAGAGATGTCCCCTGCCTAGTGTGCTCATTTCATGCATGTTTTGGTTCAAATGTCCCTTTCATCTGGAAGATCTAACCCAACCCTTTACTCGGTTCTGCTTTCTAATAACCAATACTTTCAGTGTACTTCATGTTTCATTTCCTAAGTGAAACATCAGGTGTCTGAGGAGAGCGCCCTCTCATGGGCCTACTTGGTTGAAACTCAGTCGGTCATGGTCGAGTGTGTGAGCAAATGACTCTGGCTTCGTCCCTGGTGATGATGCATACCTGCAAATGGTGGTATCAGCTCTTAACAGCAGAACCTCAGGCATCTGAATAAAGACAGGACTGGGGCTGGAGAGAGAGTTTAGCTGTTTAAAGCATCCTTGTGACCCAGGTCCAGATCCCCACACTGCTTAAGGTCCCAGAGCACCACCAAGGGTCCCAGAACCAGAAAGAAGCCCCGAAAACAGGCAGGGGTGGCCCAATCGTCTCTACCAAATCAAAAGGAAATAGATGCTTTCTAAATGACATCACAAATCTTAGGTCATTTATGACTGGGGACAGAATTAACTAGGACTCTGTGGTAGTTTGAATAACTTTCTGCGTTTGGACGTCAGGATGTTGCTTTTTTATTTTTAAGTTCAGAGCTGCAGCGCTCGCTCTCCTCCATCACTGCCTGCCACGGCTGGCCAAGAAGCACTAGGACGGCAGATGGCTGTGTCCTCAGCCCCCGGTAGAAATTTGCCTGGTGGAGGCTCTTGGTCCTTCTCCCGAGCAGCCCTATTGCGCCGTGACCCCTTCCCTGTCCTCTCGCAGGTGTGGCTGTGCTGGAAGGCCCCATGTACGCCGTGGGCGGGCACGACGGCTGGAGTTACCTGAACACGGTGGAGAGATGGGACCCACAAGCGCGCCAGTGGAATTTTGTTGCCACTATGTCAACCCCGAGGAGCACAGTAGGTGTGGCAGTGCTAAGTGGCAAGTAAGGACATCATTACAGTTCCATCAGAATACAGGAAACAGAATGTACTAAGCTGTGGAACAATTGATTAAAGGGGTACATGTAAATGGTGGAAGAGAAATACTTGGATGTACGAAAACTTTTAAAAGCTAATTCAGGACTAGAGTGATGGTACTGTGGGTAGGACATTTGCTTGCTTGAAGCTGGCCCACATCCATCTCTGGCACCACATGTGGTTCCCTGAGCACCACCAGGAGTGATTCCTGAGTGTAGAGCTAGGAATAATCCCTGAGCATTGCTGGACATGGCCCAGAAACAAATAGCAACAATATATAAGACCAAAAAAAAAAAAGCTAATAGTTCATGGTCTGGAGAGATAGTACAGGAGTAGAGGCTCTTACCTTGCACATGTCCAAACCTACTTCTATCCCGGCACCACATATGGTACCCCAAGCCCCATATGGAGTCCTCTCTAAGCACAGATCCAGGAGGAAGCTCTTGAGCATCACCAGGTATGGTTCAAAACTCAAATAATTAAAAATAGTATAAGTTATAATAGTTCAGAATAGAAATAGCTCAGCCTTGTTATTCTAAGATGTAGGTATTTTGAATTTATGGTTTTCATGTTGAATGAAATTTTATATAAATATTCGATATAACATGATTGATGAGCTGGAGTGATAGCACAGCGGTAGGGTGTTTGCCTTGCACGCAACCAACATGGCCAACCCGAGTTCGATTCCTCCGCCCCTCTCGGAGAGCCCAGCAAGCTACCGAGAGTATCTCGCCCTCATGGCAGAGCCTGGCAAGCTACCTGTGACGTATTCGATATGCCAAACACAGTAACAACAAAGTCTCCAATGGAGACGTTACTGGGCCCACTCGAGCAAATCGATGAACAACAGGAGGACAGTGACAGTGACAGTGACAACATGATTGATGCAGCTTTTTTTTTGTTTTTAAAGGTATTGACAACAGCTTTTGGCAACTAGAAACTAATTATGTGTTTCTTTTAGGTCTCTCTTCCTTAAAGTAGAACCATATATGCTCGTTCAAAAAAGTGTCTGTTGGGCTGAAAAGATAGTACAGTACCTGGGCCTTGTATGTGGCCAATCTGGGTTTGATCCGCAGCATCACATACAGCTCCCTTGTAACCTCCAGGACTGATCAATTTCTGAACATAAAGCCAGGAGTAAACCCCTGAGCACAATTGCATGTAGCCCAGAAACAAACAAACAAACAAAAAAAAACCAAAAACACTTAGTTTGAATGAAAATGTTACCTGTCTTGAGGCCGGAGCAGTAGTACAACAGGTAGGGCACTTTTCCTTGTACCCAGACTTCCTAGATTTGGTCCCTGGCAACACATAGAGTGCCCACCAGGAGTGATCCCTGAGCACAGATCCAGGTGTAAGCCCAAGTACAGTTGGTTGTTGTCCAAAAGCAAAACAAAACAAAAACTGGTACCTGTCTTCAGAATATTCATGTTTACACAAGTATACATAGTTAAGAGTCTCGTGAACAGAAATTTGGTACTTCACTATTTTTTTTTCTTTTTGGGTCACCCCCAGTGATGCACAGGAGTTACTCTTGGCTCATGCAATTCCTGATGATGCTCAGAGGACCATATGGGATGCTGGGAATCAAACCCGGGTCAGCCGTGTGCAAGGCAAATGCTCTACCTGCTGTGCTATCGCTCCAGCCCACTTCACTATTTCTTGAGAATAAATACGCAGTTAAATATTAACTGAGATTTCATAAATTTAAATATGTGTGACCATTTATATGATGAATTTAATTTGTTATTCTTTTTTAAAAAATTGAGAGGGCAGCCTTACACATGTAAAGCCCTGACACACAAAGAAAGAAAGAAAGAAAGAAAGAAAGAAAGAAAGAAAGAAAGAAAGAAAGATTTATATTAAAAGGCTTTGCCAGTGTATCAAAATAAGATTTTAATGCATAGTAAAAATAAGTAAATGTTCAAGTTTTTTATACCTATTTTAATGTTAGGGTAAAATACTGTCAAAATGTTGTGGTACATTGATAATGTAGATCTCTTAGGCTACAGTTCTGTCATTAGCATATCTGCATTATTTTTTTCTTGTTGTGTGGGGCCACACCCAACAGTGCTTGGCAGCTGCTCCTGGCTCGTTGCTGAGAGATCGCACCCAACAGTGCTCAGGAATTTAATCCTGGCTCCTGCTGACAGAGCAGCTCCAGACCATTGAGCTCTCTCCCCACCCCTTCTGCAGTGATATAAGTTAGAAAAGATGATGGTTCGCATTTAGTAAACCTTTATTTCATGTGTTCATTCCTCATTCTTACAAGTATATCCTAGCTGTCTAGCTGCTCACTTATCTCTCTGTTATGCTGGTTTTGCTCCTCACTGGGTGACCCGTGCAAGTACCTCATCTCCATCAGCTCTGTTCCTTCACGTGGGCAGTAGGAATCATCGGGTTCTCTTGGGAGCATCTTGGGATGGTTCTGATGACCCAGGGCTAGGGTCTAGCCTAGTGTGGTGTGTGCTCAGAAAGGTCCATCTCTTTCCTTCGTAACCACGTTCTGTCTTAGCTGGTAAAGAAGAAAGCCCTGATATATTTATATACCAATTTGTCTCTATTTTAAGCCACATTTTAGCATCTCTAAAATTGCAGCGCATTGTTCAATCAGTAGTGACTTGTCAGACAGATGTCAGCTGTGTTATAGTTGTCATTGCTTTCGGGCAGATTTTCTTTTTTGTGTTTGTGCAGTCATCTATGTATGCAGATCATTTCACTGGTAACACATCAACTTTCTTCTTCGCGCTAATTTTGTCATTCTTGGTGTCACCTTAAACTCAGTGAAATGCCCTCAGAAAACTTTGTCTTCTGCATAATAGCAGCTTCTTTTTCTATTTTAAAGTAGCTCTACCATTAGTTGCATTCAGTATGGTTCCTGAAAAGTAGGAACCCTGAAGGATTTATGAGGTTTGAACTTGAAGAATTCATTTGGTGGTGATGCCGTGTACTGAGACAAGGAATCTGTTCGAGGACCCAGGTCTGGTTTTGCTGGGCCAGCTTTCAGATGTTTGGAGAACATGATTACCGGATAGGACTGTGTCAGTGGCAGGCAACAGAAAATTCCTATCCATCCACTTGATTTTTTTTTATCAGTTAACCCTTCTGGATTGGCCTGACTTGAGCTGCCCATTCTGTGGGACAGTCTTTCTAATGCCCCCATCCCTTTGCTCTTCCATCTTGCTTGTCCCATTTAGACTTTATGCAGTTGGTGGCCGTGACGGCAGTTCCTGTTTGAAATCAGTGGAGTGCTTTGATCCACACACCAACAAGTGGACCCTGTGTGCACAGATGTCCAAGCGGCGTGGTGGTGTAGGCGTGACCACGTGGAATGGGCTCCTCTACGCCATCGGAGGCCACGACGCACCTGCCTCCAACCTGACCTCACGGCTGTCGGACTGTGTGGAAAGGTAAGCTCGGCCCAGCATGATTAGGTCAAAAAGTGAAATGTAGGTTTACTGGCAATGATTTTTCTATGAAATACTAAGCAGAGTTGGGTTTTTTTTTCATGACTTAATTTGTTTTATTTTATTTTTTTTAAATTTAGATTTTTATTAGTGAAACACCATGAGGTACAGTTGTAGATTTACAATTTTTTGTGCTTGGGTTTCAGTTATACAGTGATCGAATACCCATCCCTCCACCAGTGCCCATTCTCCACCACCACGGATCCCAGTATCCCTCCCACCCCCCGTCCCCCCCAACCCACCCTGTCTCTGTGGCAGGGCATTCCCCCTTGTTCTCTCTCTCCTTTTGGGTGCTGTGGTTTGAAAAAGGGGCATTGAGTGGCAATCATGTTCAGTCTAGAGTCTACTCAGCACGCATCTCCCATCCTGGGAGGATCCTCCCAACACCCTTTATTTGGTCCTCCCTTCTCTATCTGAGCTGCCTTTTCCCCCAGCGTGTGCGGCTGGCCTTACTCCCAGCCATGGAATAAACCTCCTGGTACTTAAAACCTGGTACTCTGCTATTCTTGGGTGTTAGTCTTCTATTTTGTTACTTTATGTTCCCCAGATGAATGCAATCTTTCTGTGTCTGTCTGTCTCTAACTCATTTCGCTTAGCATGATACTTTCCATGTAGTACCACTTGTATATAAATTTCATGACTTCATCTTTTCTAAGGGTTTTTTTTAAAGAAAATATGTCTGCATTTTACTTACATTGAAAAAATATTCAGACGATAATTATTATATGTTATAATCCAGGGAAGGAATGTAGAAAAACTGTATACTTTTGTCTTGTAAATTACAGACTGTCTGTAAATAAACCCAATGAAAGGTTCTTCACTGTTAGAAGACAGTGGAGCTCATCTTAGGCTGATGTATCTGTTCCCTTTTAGCTACTTCATAAAAGGGGATACAAAGATGGTCCAGGGCATAAGGTGCTTGCCCTGTACCAGCCAACCACGGTTGGATCTCCAGCACCATATATGGTCTCCAGAGCACCACCAGCATCCCTGTGCCCAGAGTCAGGAGTAAGCCACACACACCGCTGTCACGATAAAGGCCTTGGAGTGAGCTTATGGGCAGCTCCAAGTTTCGGGCAGCTCCAAGTATGGCTCCAGGTTTCAGAGGTCAAACAAGCTCAGACCTTCAGGCAGTTTTTTTATATTTATATGAGTGCTTTTGGTGCTGGAAATATTGGACACCTAAGTAAATTGATAAGGTTGCTAGTTAAAAACTTTCAGAAGGGCGGTGAGAAATAATAGCGCAGGAAGGGCCTTTTTCCTTAAACAAGGCCTGCCCGGGTACAGTTCGCATTACCTACCACATATGGTCCCCCAGAGCCCACCAGGAGTGATCCCTGACTGCAGAGCCAGGAGTTAGGCCTGTGTGTGTTGCCGGGTGTGGCCACAAAAAAATAAAAAATCCTCAGGAAAGTACTGCTACCATTCCCTTTAAAATGGTCAAATAGTGTGTTATAGCATATAATACGATGGAACAGACTGATTTTACTCACAGTACTGGGAGAACTATGTCAACTCCAGCTCTAAAATTCCCTTTCAGATATGATCCCAAAACCGATATGTGGACTGCAGTAGCATCCATGAGTGTCAGCAGGGACGCCGTGGGGGTCTGTTTGCTCGGCGATAAGCTGTATGCCGTGGGGGGGTATGATGGACAGACGTACCTGAATACGGTGGAGGCCTACGACCCCCAGACAAACGAGTGGACCCAGGTACAAACAGCCTCCCACTTCTTACTACACACTCTCTCTACTCTGTTCTCATTTCTTTTTATCCTTTTGGTTTAAACATCTCTCAGTTTTGTCTAGTCTGTAACAGAAACATATTAGCTATTTAAAAAAGACCCACTTTTCATTAACTGCAAGAAAACAAGAAAACAAGAGGGTGGGCAGAGAGATAGTACATTGGGTGTTGTGCTTGCCTTGCGTGCAGCCAACCTGTGCTCAGTCCCTGGCACCACATACAGTTTCCTGAAACCTGCCAGGTGTGATCCCTGAGCACAGAGCCAGGAATTCCCGAGCATCTCTGACTGTGGCCCCAAAACCAAAAAAAGACAGTAAAAGGAACTGTTAAGTGTCATAGCATAAGTAAATTCCAAATCATGGCCTGTGTTGATAGTACCATGGACAGGACATTTGCCATGCATGTGGCCAGCCTGGGTTTGATTCTTGGTACCCCTTATGGTTCCCATGCCCGCCAGGAGTGATTTCTGGGCTCATAGCCTGGAGTAACCCCTGAGCACCATCAGGTTTGGCAAAAAAATATATATATATACCTATGCTTCAGACTGCTCACCTGTCTCACTAGTCCCTGATTAATAATCTCTTCTGTGTGCATTATATTATATGAAAGAACTATAATCCTCCCAACAACCCCGGAAGGCCAGTACCTCTGTTTGCCTGGTATACTAGGTGAGGGGTCCTAGACTCAGAGAAATTCAGTACATGACCCAAGTCACTTAGCAAACATGGTAGAGTTAGAATTGGAGCCAAGAGCTTTTTTTCACAGTAGAGGAGAAAAGCGTGGTGGAGAGAGATTGCAGTTGCAGAAAGGAAGTTCAGACTAGCAGGGCACTTTTTTCCCCTGAAAGAAGGGCTGGATTGGAGTGGGAGGGAAGGTTGGGAACCAAGAGCGTACCTCTCAAGGCAGCAGCTGAGGACAAAGGAGCAAGAGGATGGTGACAATGGAAGGGTCAAAGGTACACAGATTTTCAGGGAAGTGCTTGCTGAAGGAGGGAAAATGGAGGAGGGTAAAGGGACTTAGGACTTCATGAGGTCTGCTGTTTTTTTTTTTAAGTAAATGACTTCACTCAGGGAGGCTGCTGTGTGGAGGGAAGACCTTCAGGGCTTGAGTCAGCACTGCAGGATTTCACTAGCAATTGTGATTACCTCCCATCAATGGAGCAGAAGTTATAAATGCTAACCCAGAAGGCCCAAAGGTGTTGAGATTCTTTCTCTAAGATCTGTTGGACTTGAGCTAACAATGAAGAAATTTATGGCCAGCAGTTGAAACTTCTACTTTAGGCCAAATCAGAATCAGTAGCCATGTGGCTTTATTTATTTATTTATTTATTTATTTTTATTTATTTATTTATTTATTTATTTATTGCACATCACCCCTTTTTAAAATAGGGGGCATAGTATGGATGGGGTATGCGGAGATAGAGCAGCACTTGCCTTTTATGGGGTCAACCCAGGTTCCGTGCCTGGCACCCCATAGGGTCACCTGAGCCCATTCAGGAGTGATCCCTGCTTGCAGAGCCAGGAGTAAGCTATGACCACAGTCTGGTGTGGCCCCAAAACAAATAAATTTGGGGATGTGGGACTGGGCCACACTTTGTGGTGCTCAGGGCTTACTCCTGACTCTGCTCAGGGATCATTCTTGGCAGGGCTGGGGGACCAGATGCAGTTCTATAGATCAAAACAGGGCTGGCAAAATGCAAGACAAAGCACCTTAGCCTCTGTGCTCTCTCTCCAGCCCTCTTTTTTTAAAAGCACCCAAATGTAAACTAAGAATAGCTGGAAAATGCTTTCTTTTCTGTATGCCAACAAAAGGGACCAGAGGATGTTTGTAGAGAAAATGAGATAAGTTGACATTGGCTTAAGCCATCATCCATCCCATTATTCGCCATGACTGCATCATTTTTAATTGATTCTCTAAGTGAAACTTTCTGGCCGGTTGTCATGACAACTTACTTCACAGTGTAGATTTCGGGTGTCTTGGATTTTTCTTTTTAAGGCTGCTAATTACAAACACAGTTTGATTTAAATCAATTGGAGGTTACACCTAGAATGCTCTTACATAGATGTGGACTTAAAATAGATATGGGGGTCCATGGATGTGACACAGTGGTAGTTTGGTTGGCTCCACTTAGCATGTTGTTGGTACATTAATAGGGCTAGAGAGACAGGGGGCTGAGGTACATGCTGTGTGGACAGGAGGGTCAGGTTTGATCCCAGCATTGTGTAGTCTTCCAGGGGTAGGTGTGGTCCCTGAGCCACCAGGTGTGATACAAAAACAGAGAATGTAAGGGACCACTGGGGAAATAGCTCAGCAGGCTGGAGCACATGTTTTGTAAACAGGAGGCCTATGTTTCATTACTGGTGCTTAATGGCTTCCCTTGCCCTTGCCACCCCCCCCCCCCAGCATTGGGCTAGAAGTAGCCCCTCAGCATGCTAGGTATGGATGCAAAACCAAAAAAGATAAAAAGGGTTATATGTTCAAAGAGCTATAACTGATCAGCGAATACAGATGGAGAACAGCTGAGGATTTTCTTTCAGCCAGTCTTGCATGCTCTTAAAGTCCACTCGCCAGTCTTTGTAGAGGCGTGTCAGGCCGATCAGAGTCATTTTGATATGTGTATTTGATTACATAATACCACTTACATCAGTACAAAGGAACTTACTACTCAACCTTGTACTATTTCCAGGTACCAACCTATTCCCTTAGGTCAATGCATAAATTCTCACTGTTATCATAACTTGTAAGTTATCCCCCTTTTTATCTTTTTTTTCTTTTTGAGGCACCAGTGCTCAGGGTTCATTCCTCTGTGCTCAGGGATCACTCCTGTCAGTACCTGGAAGACCATATGTGGTGCCAGGGATTTAACCCAAATCTGCTGCGTGCAAGGCAAGCGCCCTCCCCACTGTACTTTCAATCCAGTCCCAGAGTTGTCCTTTTATCAAAACTGTTTTTGTGCACACATTTCTTTCCACTATGAATTGCCCCATCTGGGGCAAAAAAAAAAAAAAAGAAGAAGAAGAAAGACAGCAAGTGAAAGATTTAAAATTATCCCGCACCCATAAATTAAGTTGCTGTTCTTCCACACACTTCTGTCTCATGGCCAGGTTCACTCACCAGCTTTATGTACACTGCTTGGGAGTTGGCAGGACAGTGTTTGTGTTGTGAGTATCATGCTGCACCGTGGTTAGTGAGTGAAGAGCTCAGCCTTTCCACCATGGCAGAGAAGCAGGCTTGTCTCCTCTGAATGAACCGACCTGATGGGTATTAGGAAACGCGTAATAATCAAGGTTACTTTTGTAAGCGTGTAGGGCATTTGCCTTGCATGCAGTCTACGCAGCCAACCCAAGTTCGATTCCTCTGCCCCTTTCAGAGAGCCCTGCAAGCTACCAAGAGGATCACACCCGCATGGCAAAGCCTGGCAAGCCACCCGTGACGTATTCAATATGCCAAACACAGTAACAACAAGTCTCACGATGGAGACGTTACTAGGCCTGCTCGAGCAAATCGATGAACAACAGGAGGAGAGTGCTACAGTGCAGTGCTACCTCCTACCCATCATGCTTGATTTTGGTCAGAATAGTGTTTCAAGTAGAGCAGTTCCCAAGCTATTAAACATCATCTGGGCCTCTGAGCACAGCCAGAAGTGACCCCTGAGCACAGTGGAGTGTGGCCCAAACCCCCACACACACCCTACCCCCAGGTCACCTGTTATGCAATATGTACAAGTATTGGATCATTATATTGTACACCCGGAAGGATTTTTCTGCACCAGTTATATCTAAATTGTAGAAGATAGGGGAAATTACATTTATAGAAGACTTAGTACTATGTAGTCAGGTGGTACACCCAAGTGATGTAGTAGCAGAAACTCTGACAAGAGGAACGCAGGGATGAGACCAGGGTGGGACTGGGCTGGTGAGGACCAAGGGAGCGGCTCTGCGCCAGCTCTGTGGACTGCTTCCATCCTTGCCGGCCAGTGAGCAGTTGGCAACCGAAGACCCAACCAGTCTGTCTTTCTGCTTCTTTACAGGTGGCTCCACTCTGCCTGGGCAGAGCCGGTGCTTGTGTTGTGACCGTGAAACCGTAGCTGACCACTGGGCTTCGCTAAATGAAGATAGACTCTCCCTTTATGAATTGAATTCTTTCCTTTCTCTGTGGATGCACTTTCAACAAATTTATAAGGCCACGTCCCCGGGCACGAAGTGTCAGCTCTCACCTGGCAGAGAAAGAAGTGGACAGGGCCACGTGAAATGCTTCCGTTCCCAGGGAGTCCACATGGTGGGTTTTGAAGATGCATTCCCGGCGCCACAAAGCAGCATCTCCTAAATACCACCTGTGCTAACTGGGAATTTCATTCATTGAGCACATTTTACTGACATTCTCCAGATCTCTTGTATTACACTTCAGATAACACCAGATAAAACTTTTATGAAAAATAGCTTTCTTTTTAACTTTATCATACCAGAGTTTAATTTTATCCAAATTCATTTGTACTATTAACCATCACCACTATTTTAATAATACACTAAAGACTGCTTTTTAGGTTTTTGGTTCTTTTGGTTTCTTTCTTTTTTTTTTTTTTAGGAATTAGCTATTGTTAGCTATTTTATTTGTGCTTGGGTCATGTATTTGATTTCTAAAGTTGGCTCACTCCAAGGAACGGGAGGAAAAACATTAAAGGGTAAAAAAATAAAAAACAAAAAGCAAAAAAAAAAACCAGCAGTGACCAAATAAAATCATGATCTTTGAGGTCTGTTTAAATAATTATCCTAACTAGATTCGCCAAGAACTACAAGTTATGATACTCTGAAATTGGGATTGAGAACTAGTGTTTTGTATTAAAATTGAGATATGCAATTTATGTAGGGAAAACGTTATGTATCTATAATGTTCTTTAATCAAACTAATATTATATGAATTTGTTTTTATATTGTGGAAGATGTTTTGATTTTGTCTTTTGATATCAACAAAACTGTTCAGATGTTCTTATGTTCTCCAAGCTGAATTCCCTTCCCTGCCTGACATCTATTTGCCAGTTATCAACCGTTAGTGCTTCTTTGTAGTCAAGCAGTTTGGGAAAATTGGATCTATTGAATGCTTAAAAAAATCAGTATAAAGTGTTTATTATCCAAAGTTTTGTACATTTGTAAACTCTAACCACATAGGTGAATGTTAATACTCTCAGTGAATTGTTTATTGTTTGCAAAAATGCACTGAGCAGTAACATTTTGTGATAAATCCTTTTAGATATAAGTCATTAACTTATATCTTAATATAAAATGAATATAAACTTTCATCTTTTAAAATGTCGTGGTATAGTGTTTTTACTTTTTTTACATCAGGGTTGCCTTTATTTTAGTTGCTTTCTTTAAAAACTAAGGCAAATTTTAAAACGTGAGCAAATGCTGAATGCTCATGATGTGTTTCTGTCGTGAAACTGAACTGAAAGTCAAGAAGCTGAACACTTGTATTCCAGGAAAAACTGTGCTCATTTTGCTTCTGTTCTTGCTAAGAAAGTAATAATGAGTATGAGAAATGTACTAGTGCTTCACTTATTCCTTGTGTTAGGAATTTCAGTTATTTTACTGCCAAGGAGGGAGATTGTATTTACGTAAGACAGAAGAGGAAAAGGTATTGGAAGCAAATTTCAAAGCCAGATACATGTTTATTTGGTATTGGGTCCACACCTGCCTGTGCGCAAAGCTTACTCCTGGCTCTGTGCTCAGGTGTCACTCCTGGCAGCACTCGGGGAGCATATGTGGTGCTGGGGATCGAACCCAGGGCAACCACATACAAGGCAAGTGCCTAAAACTAGACACTTGTTTAATAACTACATCATCACCATCTTTGTCACTTTTGTGAAACCTTACACCTACGACCGAAAGCAAGTACTTAAACTTGACATATTCTTCTAAAATACTCTTATGACCAGTTCCTGGATCCCTGTGGCCCTTGGGAGAGACCAGGTTCACATTAAAGAAATGATTCTCCTTTCCTAGGGTCTTCCTTTTCTCTATTTCTCTGTGGGACAGTCAGGACAGTTCCTTTCTGGACAGGATAATCTAGATGAATACAGCTGGTTTTTTTTTTCTAGTGACAGATTCCTCTCTGACACTGGGGAGACTTATATGATGGGGAAATTAGTAATGGATGCTTATTCTGTCTCAGAATTTGCTACAAAGAAACTAATAAGAATTTGAACACATTATTGCACTTCATCCTTAACCTTAAGATTCCTTTCTTCCTGATGACAGACATGGAGGTTACCCCCACGTTATATATGGCAAGAACATTGCAAAGCAGGGCTTCTGGTGCAGGTAATCTGGTATAAGAGTCAGTGTTTCTAAATAGGAAAGATTTATCATTTAATAAGAAAAGTAAATATTTACACATTTTAGAAGTAAAACTTATACCAGCAGCACCTTTATCAGAAATTCGGTTTCCAGGGTCAGTGCATCTGTAGAGTGGTAGGATGCTTTCCTTGCACATGGCCAATCCAGGTTGAATCCCCAGCATCCCATATAGTCCCCTGAGACCTCCAGGAGTAATTCCTGAGCCAGCAGTAACCACTGAGCACTGCCAGATGTAACCCAAAAACAAAACAAACAAAAACCTGGCTTAGAAATTGAATAACAGGATTTAAAACACAGTGCCTCAAACTATTTAAATAAGAAATGTAAGTGGCCTGAGAGAGAGTACAAGGGTTAAAGCACATGCTTCTGTATGGCTGACCCCTGTTCTAATCCCTGGCACTGCATATGGCCCCCTGAATTCCTCCAGGCATGATCCCTTTGTACAACTGGGTATAGTTCAAAATTTAAAATATTAGACCTATACCAGGTAAAGGAATTGAATTGGCCATCAAATATGCCTTCCAACAGAATTTAGGAATAAGTTTATTGGTGAATTCTGCCCTCCATTGCAAGAATAAATGCTAAATTTACTCTTAATCTTTCCCCTCAAATAGAGGAGTGAATACCTCTAAATCATTATATAAGATCACCAATACCTTGATAGCAAAGTTAGACTAAAGATCATACACCAAATGGCTGGAGCGATAGCACAACGGGTAAGGCGTTTGCCTTGCATGCGGCCATCCCGGGTTCGATTCCCAGCATCCCATAAGGTCCCTCGAGCACTGCCAGGAGTAATTCCTGAGTGCAGAGCCAGGAGTAACCCCTGAGCATCGCTGGGTATGAACCAAAAAGCAAAAAAAAAAAAAATTACACACCAAGACAAACTTAAGGGGCAGGAGGGAGTGTGGGGTTATGTACATGCCTTGCACACAGCCAATTCAGTTTCATCTCTGGTTCCCTGAGCACTGAGTAATCCCTGAGCACCACCAAGTATGACCCAAAAAGTCACAAACACAAAACAAACCTGAGACCAAAGGAATGCCAACATGGTTCAATATTGAAAAAAAAATCTAAGATATACCATATTATAGAATGAAAGGGGGTGGGGAACATAATTATCTCAATAGCACTGCACTGTAGCACTGTCCTCCCGTTGTTCATCAATTTGCTCGAGCGGGCCCAGTAACGTCTCCATCGTGAGACTCGTTACTGTGTTTGGCATATCGAATACGTCACAGGTAGCTTGCCAGGCTTTGCCAAGTGGGCGAGATACTCTCGGTAGCTTGCCAGGCTCCTCAAGAGGGGCAGAGGAATTGAACCCGGCTCCACCGTGTGCAAGGCAAACGCCCTACCTCTGTGCTCTCTCTCTAACCCCAATTATCTCAGTAGGCAAAAAATGGAAAAAAACAACTGGTTTTTTTTTTCCTTTGGATTCATGGGACCCTACCCAGCAGTGCTTAGGGCTTACTCCTGATTCCACTTAAAGGTCACTCCTAGCAGCATCAGGAGACCCTGTGGGGTGCCAGGGGTTGAAAGTGGGTTGGACAAGTGTAAAGCAAGCGCCCTACTCACTGTACTATCACTCTGACCCTAAAGTCTAACTTTTATGATTTAAAAAAAGAAGAGAAAGGAAAATTTTCATTTGTTAAAATCACTCAACAGATTGGAATAAATCCTGAGCACCTCCAGGCCTGACCATCCCCTAGAAAACAAACAAACAAAGGCATTCACAAAAGGGACCAAAAAGCTAGCTCAAAAAGCTGAGTGCACGCATTGCATCCAGAGTCCTGGATTTAATGATTGAATCTTCAAGTACCACGGAAGTTGGCACCAAACCCCCTGCACTGACAGGTATGACCCAGAAGCAACAAAAACACACTTATAAAAAATCCCCACTAGCACCATATTGAATGGTAAAAGGAGTTTCCCCTCTAAAATCAGGAACATTTCCTCTTACAACTAACTGTATCAGAACAATTGAACAAGAGAAAAAGAATCCTAATTAGGAAAAAGACTATCTTGTTGGCAGTTGACATGTTCTTATATAATAAAAATCTTTAGCCCTGCATCAGCAGCGTGATGGTGCCTTCAGGTTTCCTGACACCCCAAAATTGCCACTGTGCCTTTGGCCGGACCCCAACAACTTGGGACCAAGTTTACCAAGAAATTAAAAGGCCAAAAGTTTGGTATGTGGGAGCCATGCCCACAAACCACCTCCAGCTCAGCTACAAAAGCTTATTTATTGGCTTTATCTCAGAGACCCATAGATAAATCTCTAAGGAGACCAAAAGCCAAATTAATCTCGGACCCGTGCATGGCTGAACAGACTGGGGTAAATTGGAGGGGGGCAGGTTGGCCTGTGCCTGCTGAAGCAGAGCCCCCAGCAGCCGCTTGCTTCCAAATCCAAAATTGCCACCATACTCCTGGCCTGACTCAACCATCTTAAGATGGACCTCACAAAGATGTAATCTGCTGAAAATTCTGGTATGCGGGTTTTGTGACTGAAATCTCCAGGCTTTCACGGAGTTGGGGTGGGCTGCCTCCCCCTACTTCCCAATACACGTGGAAGCAGTCACCCCCACAAACCAACTCCAGCGCCACCCTGTAAAGTATTACTTGCCTTGCTTCAGAGACTCATAAATAAATCTCAAAAGAGATCAAAAGCCAGAGACACAGCAGCGAGTCCTTCAAGACATCACAGAGCGGAAGATCTCTCAGGGCCCCGTACAAGCTAATTTCACCAGAGCACCTCAGATGGAGCAGGTGCACCCTCCCCGCCTACTCCAGATGGAATCCTGGCAACCAAGAGCTTCCACAAGCAAGGCCCAGGTATGCAGGTTCCAGGACTAAATCTCCAGGCGACATGGCAGCAGAGGTCATTGACCTGGATGTCACACCCACAATGTTCCTCCGGGCGCCATCTTCGTGCACCAATAGCCCTGGTCCAGAGACCCCCAATTGAATCCCAAAATGTATTAGTGCCCTGTAAAAATGTCTCTGGAACCCAACATCTACAATCTAGGATTCTAGAAGTGTGTGGCTGCGACACCCAAGATATTCAAAATGAGCAATGGACAATAAATGATTTAGCATCTGCCCTGGCAGGCAGGCTTGAATGGTGTTGGGAAAATTTGAGCAAAACATAATGCCCAAAAGTAGAGAAAAATTGCCTGTCATGGAGGCAGGGTGAGGACTGGGATGGGGGGGG